GAACTATAGTCTAGATTACAGACTGAACTATAGTCTAAACTACATAATGAACTGTAATCTAGACTATAGACTGAACTATAGTCTAAACTACAGACTGAACAATAGTCTAGACTGCAGACTGAAATATAGTCTACACTATAGACTGAACTGAACTATAGATTATATTATTGACTGGATGGATTGAACTTTAGTCTAGACAATAGACCGAACTATAGTCCAAACTATATAATTTAGTCTAGACTATAGACTGAACCATAGTCTAGACTATAGAGTGTAAACTATAGCCTATACTTATGACTAGACTATCGACTGAACTATAGACTACGCAGACTATAAAAGAGATTTCAAATCTTCCCCTATGAAGAAATTATGATGTCTACATTTAATTTATGTTTTCATTGTATAGTTAGTCACACTTTATTTAAGCCAATTTTAAAAAAAGTTTTAAAATAAAATTGTTTTGTTTTTTAATTATTTTAGTTGCCTTAAAAAAAGAGACACATTTCTAGTTACGTTTGGTAGTTTAGCACAAAGTAATGTTTAGTTTTTACTTAAAATTACTTTAAATTTATATAAAATTAAAACGTTTATGTTACCATTTTTAAAGCCAAGTTTTAGTTTTTAGTAAATTTGTTAGTGGGAAATTGTAAAACAAATGAAATTTTGTTAAAAATTTGCAAAAATTTTTTAAAATTAAGAAAACTAAAAGTTTATAGTTAATAATAAGTAAAAGTTAAGTTGTTTTTAAAAAATATTGTTATTTTAAAGAAAAATACGTTAAAAGTAAAATTAGTTTGAATATCGGAATATTGACACACAGTTTTTTTGTTTAAAATCAAAGCATATTTTCAGGTGAATGAGGACAAAACTTTGCAGTTATGTTTTACTTTAAGTTATCAGTATCTGAGTCTTAAAGTAGGCTTTAGTTTTCGAATGCAAGCCTAAAAGTAGACAATAGACGTTTATATTTGCGTAATCAGCGTCAAAGCTCCTGATATGAAACCTATAATTAGGCAGTAGTTTATAATAGGTATTTTTTGGCTTAAATTTTAGATAATCTCTTGTTTTAACGCCCAAAAGTAGGCTATAGATTAGGAATTATCTTTGCTGGCTAATGAGTTGTATCTAAAGTCTAAAGATAGGCTTTAGTTGTTTTAATTTCATTAAAAATGGCTTTTTATTTTAAGCCACTTCTATATTTTTTGTTTAAGCCTAAAAGTAGTGCTTAGTTTTTAAAAAATATGTAAGAAATCCTTTCAATGTATAGTCCGCCTTACAATTAAAAAGTTTTCCTAACTTTTTAGTTTGAAAAAAGTCTTAAGTTTAAAAAATTTCTTTTAAAATCCTAGACATTTTAAAAAAATCTTAAATTTTATATGTATTAGGCCTAAAACTAGACTATGTATAACAATATTAGCTTTTTATTTCCTAGATTTTTATTTGAAATGAAATTTGTTATAAAACATTAAGAAAACTTTTGATTTAAAGCCTAAAAGTAGGCTCTTAGTTTATAAAGTCTTTTTGACCAAAGCATACTATATTGACCCCTTTTAAGTATGCTTTAGTAGCTATGAAAAAGACTTTATTTTAATTTTTTCTTAAGTTTTCTTTTAAGCCTAAAAGTAGGCTATGTAATGCCTATTAAGCTTAATAATTGAAAGTTTTTTATTGAAACAATCTGTAGGTTTCCTTTTGAACTAGAAATTGTGTAATATATTAAAGGAACCTTTCGATTAAAGGACTAAAAATAGTCCGTAGTTTAGGAAATGTGTTGTTTAAGCTAATGGATGCTATATATAGCCTAAAAGTAGGCTTTTGTTTAGGGAATTTGTGGGAGATTTGGATTTCATTTAAGAGATCTGTTTAATTTTCTTTTAAGCCTTGAAATAGACTTTAATTGTTAATGAAGTTGTCTTAAAATAGGCCACGTTTTAGTTAACTTAATAAATTACTCTTATAAGCCTAATATTAGGCAGCAGTTTTTAGTTTTATGATAAAATTTTTAAAAAATTTTACTTTTTGAAAGAAATTTATTTAATTTTCTTTTAAGCCTTGAAATAGACTTTAGTCGTTAAAGAATTTACCTTAAAATAGGCCATGCTTTAGTTAACTTTTTAAATTACTCTTATAAGCCTAAGATTAGACTATAGTTTTTAGCTTTATGTTAAATCTGTTAAAGAATTTCTTGAAAATTCAACTTTTTGAAATGTATTCCGCTTTAGGCCTAAAAGTAGCCTTTACTTGGACAAAAATTTTAAGGATTTGCCTAAAAATATGCTATGTTTTATGAAATATTTTAAATTTCTCTTGAAAGCCTAAGATTAGGCAGTAGTTTTTAGCTTTATGTTAAAACTTTTAAAGAATTTCTGGAAAATTTTACTTATTAAAAGAAATAGGTTTAAATTTCTTTTAAGCCTTAAAATAGACTTTAATTATTAAATAAGTTGCCTTAAAAGAGGCCATGTTTTAGTTAACTTTATAAATTTCGCTTATAAGCCTAAGAATATGCTTTAGTTTTTAGCTTTATGTTAAAATTGTTAAAGAAAATTTTACATTTTGAAAGAAATCGGTTTAACTATCTTTTAAGCCTTGAAATAGGCTTCGATTATTAAAGAATTTGCCTTAAAATATGCAATGTTTTAGTTAACTTCATAAATTTCTCTTATAAGCCTAAGAATAGGCTATAGTTTTTGACTTTTTTTTAAATTTGTAAAATAATTTCTGGAAAAAATCCCATTTTGAATGAAATCGGTTTAATTATCTTTTAAGCCTAAATGTAGACTTTAATTGTTAAAGAAGTTGCCTTAAAATATGCCTTGTTTTAGTTAACTTTATAAATTTCGTTTATACACCTAAGAATAGGCTATAGTGTTTAGCTTTATGTTAAAATTGTTCAAGAATTTCTTGAAAATTTTACTTTTTGAAAGTAAAAGTAGCCTTAAAGCCTAAAAGTAGCCTTTATTTGTACAAAAATTTAAAGGTTTTGTCTAAAAATAGGCTTTGTTTTATGAAATCTTTTTGAAATTTCTCTTGTAAGCCTTAATTTAGGCTATAGTTTTAGACTTTTTGTAAAAATTGTTAAAGAATTTCCTGAAAATTTTACTTTTTTAAAGATTTTTTGGTGTAAGCCTAAAAGTAGCCTTTCTTTGTCAATAGGCTTAAAGAAATTGCCTAAAAATATGCCACGTTTTAGTTTATACCTTAAATTTCTCTTGTAAGCCTTAGTTTAATCTAAGGTTTTTAGTATTTTGTTAAAACTATTAAAGAATTTGTTGAAATTTTTACTTTTGTTTTAAAAATTTCCAAGTTTAAGCCTAAAATTAGCCTTTATTAGCCTAAAAATATGCCATGTTTTAGGAAATCTTTCAAATCTTTTTTGTAAGCCTTAGTTTAGACTATAATTTTTAACTTTTTTGTTAAAACTGTTAAAGAATTTTTTGAAAATTTTACTTTTTTTTAAGATTTTTTTAGTTTAAGCCGAAAAGTAGGCTTTATTTAAGTACAAAATTAAAGAATCAGCCTAAAAATAGGCTTTATTTAATGATTTTTTTTAATTTATCAGGTAAACTTTAAGTTAGCCTAAAGTTTAGGACTTTAATAAAGAATTTTTTCTTTTTTTTAAAGATTTCTTGCTTTAAGCCTAAAAATATGCTTTAAAAACTGTGTTTTAGATTGCAATTTTAAAGTTTTTATTTTAAATAAAAATTTTAAGTGTTTATAAAGCCTTAGTTGAATTCTTACCCTTTTTTTTGTATAAAATTTGAAAAATTTTTTTTTTAAATTTATTAATTAAGCAAGATTTTTTTTTTAAAGTAAAAAAATTGAAAACAGGGTTTTGTTTTTTTAGATTTTTTAAAGATTTTTTTGTTTTATTTAAAGTTTTTTTTTTATATATTTCAGTTGTTTTTATTTTATTAAACATTTGTTGTTTAAATAAAAGTATGTTGTTGTTGTTGTGGTTGTTTTAATTACTCGTTTTTGTTCTGTTTAGAGAAAAGAAAAAAAAGCTTTAAATGGAATTAATTAATTTTGTTTTTACTTTAAAAAGTTTAAATTAGTTAGAGAAAAGACTTTGTTTGTAATAAAGTCTTGAAAAAAAAGCATTTTTTTCTTTTGTTTTAGAAAAAAAACGAGTAAAATTAAGAGAATTTATTTTTGTTTGTTTTATTAGTTTTTTAATTAAATTTGTTTAATCATAATTTAATTAATAATTACATTTATATATAAATGTGTTTGAAATTTTTTTTCTTTTTAACATCTTTTTTTTGTTGTTTTTGTTATATATATTTCTGGTAATATTTTTTTTTTTTTTGTTTTTGCAAATAGAAGTCATGTTAAGAAAGTGTAAGAGTGTTAAATTTTTTTTGTAATTTTTATTTTTTTTTTAATATTTTTTTTTATAAATTAAATTTAAGTATCTGATTCAAAAAAAGTGTTTTTGTTTTTTTTCATTTTTGTAATTGTTTAACTAACTTACTATCAACGAGGACTGCAAGTGTTTAAATTTTAAGAACTTTTTTTGTTTTCTGTTTAAGAGAAAATAAAAGTTTTTATTTTTTTTTTTAAAAAAACTTTTATTTTTTTTTTTATTTTAGAAAAAAAAAGTTCTTTATTTTAGGCTGACTGCTTTGCTTTGTTTGTTTTATTTAATTTTAATAAAATTTAATTAAATTTAAAGAAGAAAATGTCGAAAAAAAAAACTAAACAAACTTTTTCATTAAATTATTAAAAAAGGGAATAATTTCTTAGCTAATTTAAAATTTAGTTTAAATTATTTTTTTAAAAAAAAGAGCCTTTTCTTTTTTAAATTGTTTAAAAAAAACAGTGTTAAGTGTTTTTTTTGTTGTTGCTTAAGAGAGAATCCTATTTTAATGTTTAGCTTTCCATATTTAGCTTGTTTAGCTTAAATAATAGTTGTTTTTGTTTTAAACTTGTGGTTTGTTTGATTTTTTATTAATTTAAATTTAAATATATTTTCTGGGTTTTTTTTGTAATTTAAGGTTTTTTTTATTAAGTTTTTTTTTTATTAATTGTATTTATATTTAAATGTTGTTGTTGTTTTTTATATAAATTTAAGTTTTTTAAGTTGTTGTTGAGGGATAGGTGTTTTTATTTTTGTAATATTCTTTTTCATGTTTTTTTTTATATATATATAATATTTATATTTTTATTTTCAATTTAAATTTTTAAGTTTTCAATAGTGTTTGTTGTTGTTTCTTCATTTAAATATTTTATGCTGTTGTTGTTGTTGTTGTAGTTGTTATTTATCCATAGCAGCAGCAATTGCGCGTTGTTAATGCGCCCAGCTACAGTCTTCGTCAACATCTTAAAAACATAGAAAAGCTTAAAAAGAAGTAATTTAGCTGCTCACTTTGATGTCATCATAGTCACGAATTCTGCAAGAAAACAACAACAAAAATATATATTAATACAACATACAAAAACAACAAAATTTTAAAACTTTATAGAAAATTTCAAAATATTTGAAAAAATTCTAGAAATCTTAAACAAATTTCATAATTTTTCTTTAATTTCTCAAAAATTTCTAAATTATATTAAAAAAATTTCAAAAATATCTTAATAAACTTAAAGTAGCACATCCTAGATAACAAAAAAATCAAGTAGCATACCCTAGAAAACGAAAAAATCAAGTAGCACACCCTAGACATATAAAAAAATCAAGTAGCACACCCTATATAACTAAAAAATCCAAGTAGCGCACCCTTTGCAAACAAAAATTTAAAATTTTCTACAATTTTTCTTAAATTTTTTAAAAAATTTCTCGTTAAAACATAAAAATTTTAAAAATATCTTAAAAACTCAAAGTAGCACAGCCTATAAAACGAAAAAATAAAGTAGCACACCCTATATAACTAATAAATACAAGTAGCACACCCTTTTCTAACAAAAACTCCCTAAATTTCTTAAGAAATCTTAAAAAAATCCAAAAATTTCTACATAAAAAGTAAAAATTATAAAAATGTTTTAAAAAACTTAAAGTAGCACACACTAGAAATCGAAAAAATCAGGTAGCACACCCCCTAGATATCAAAAAACTAAGTAGCACACACTTTGCAAACAATTTCTTTTTATATTTCCTAAGAAATCTTCAAAAAAGAAATACAACTTTTCTTTAACTTCTCAAAAATTTCTCGTTAAAACGTAAAATTTCGAAAAATATCTTAAAAAACTTAAAGAAGCACATCCTAGAAATCGGAAAAATCAAGTAGCACACCCTAGACATATAAAAAAACCAAGTAGCACACCCTATAAAACTAAATAATCCAAATAGCACACCTTTATTATTGAAAAAATTCCATAATTTTCTTTAAATTTTCAAAAAAATTTACAAAAAATGGAACAATTTCAAAAATACCTTAGAAAACTTAAAGTGGCACAGGTAGCACACCTTAAAAATCGAAAAAATCAAGTAGCACACCCTTTTAAAACCAAAATTTCTTAAGAAAATTAAAAAATTTCTATAATTTCTCAAAAATTTCTAAATAAAGAGAAAAAATTTTAAAAATATTTCAGAAAACTCAAAGTAGCACACCCTAGACATGTAAAAAAATCAAGTAGCACACCCTTTATAAACAAAAATTCCTTAAATTTCATAAGAAATCTTCAAAAAATTACATAAAAAGCAAAAATTTCCAAATTATCTTAAACAACTTAAAGTAGCACACCCTAGAAATCGAAAAAATCAAGTAGCACACCCTATAAAACTAAATAATGCAAGTAGTACACTCTTAACAAACAAAAATTCAATATTTTTTCTTTAATTTCTCAAAAATTTCTACATAAAATTAAAAAAAATTAAAGTAGCACACCTTAGAAATCGAAAAAATTCTGTAGCACACCCTATATAACTAAATAATTTAAGTAGCACACCCTTTTCTAACAAATATTCCTTAAATATTCAAAAATTTCTATAATTTTTCATAATTTTCTCAAAAATTTCTATATAAAATGCAAAAATTTCAAAAATATTTTAAAAAACTTAAAGTAGCACACCCTATGAATCGAAAAAATCAAGTAGCACACCCTTTTATAACAAAAAATTCCTTAAATTCCTCAAAATTTTAATAATTTTTAAATTTTTTTCAATAATTTTTTAGTAAAACCCTTAAGAATTCAATAAAATCAAGTAGCACACCCTATATAACAAAATATTTTAAGTGGCACAACCTTTAAAACTAAAATTTCATCCAAATTTTTAAGAAAACAAAGAAAAAATCAAGTAGCACACCCTTAATAATGGGAAAAAATCAAGTAGCACACCCTTTAAAATGAGTTTTAACAGGTCAAAATTATAAAATGTTTTAAATATTATAGAAAATTTAAAGTAGCACACCCTTTAAAAAGAAAATTTCATCAAAATTTTAAAGAAAATAATAAAAAAATCAAATAGCACCCCCTAAATAAGGGAAAAATCAAGTAGCACACCCTAAATATTGCAAAAAATCAAGTAGCACACCCTTTAAAATGAGTTTTTAACAGTTCAAAATGATAAAATTTCTTAAGTATTATAGAAAATTTAAACTAGCACACCCTTTAAATCGAAAATTCCATCAAAATTTTAAAGAAAATAAAGAAAAAACCAAATAGCACCCTTTGAATAAGTGAAAAATCAAATAGCACAAACTTAGTAAGGGAAACAATCAAGTAGCACACCCTTAATAAGGGAAAAAATCAAGTAGCACACCCTTTAAAATGAGTTTTAACAGTTCAAAATGATAAAATTTCTTAATTATTATAGAAAATTTAAAGTAGCACAACCAAAAAATAGGAAAAAATTTTGAATATTTTGGATATTTTATGACTTCCTTGTTAATAATAATAAATTAAAATATTTAATAGTACGATTAAACGTTTAAAGTTTATATAAAATAAAAATTAAACAAAAACAAATTTGTTTTTATTAAAATTGTTATTTAATTATAAACAAACAAACGCGCAGCAGCGAAGTATATAAATAAATAAAAGTTGAAAAAAAAAAAAGTAATTGCGTGTGGGGGTATTATTTGTTTTATTAATTTATGTTGAAAATAATGGAAAATTTACAAATTACAAAAAGAATATTGAACATTTTTTCTTAAAAATTTATTTTTTATAAAAAAATTTTTTAATTTTTTTGAAAATTTTCTTAACAAAGTTGACGTTATTTTATGAAAAAACCCATGATGTGATATTGTTATACCTTGTTTTGTAAATATGTATAGATTTTTTTTTTTTGTTAATTCCTCATTCTTGGGATATGTTAAAAATGTATACTTAACAACAATACAACAACAACAACAACAACAACAAGAAATCGAAATTATTTTTAGCAATAAAATGCAAACACCTGCTAAAATTGGGGGCACAATTTTCAAAATACTAACTAAAACTGAAAAGAACAAAAACAACACACACACACAGTCTCTGTACAACATAATGAAAACGAGGAAGCACTGTTTGCTCGACAAGTGAGAAGAGTCCACACAACATGATATTCTTGTTGTGTGAGTGTAAATTAATTTAAAACTATTACTAATAGTTTTGTACAGCAACAACAACAAATAAAACGCAAATCACAAGCAACAATTTGAAATCAACATAGTTATTTTTATTGTGATTAATTTGAAAAATTACCCCAAATAAATACAATATACAGTGGACGTCCAATAGTACGTATACTCTTTATTACGAATATCCAATAATACGAATGGCAAAATTGTTGCATTGTATACTCTATAGTACGAATAAAGTCACAATTTTTCTGTTCGATAGTACGAATAACGCATTTTTTATGGGAATTTTGGTTTTATTTACGTATGAATGAAGTTTTTATTATGTTTTTATTTTATTATTTCGGTATCATTCACCTTAAGCTCAGTAATTTTGAAGTTTTTTTGTATTTATTACAAGTGTTTTGTATTTTTAAAAATCCTATACACACAATTTACTGCATGTATATTTACAAATCAACAATTATTTAGTGTTATTAATTTATTTTATTGGAATTTTGATGACCCAAGAGAAGAAATTAAATTGGATGATAACGCCAATGAGGAAAGTATTTTATTAGTTCCCGACAATAACTCTGCTGAGAACAATATTGAAGCCTCAAAAGCGTTGTTATTGAAAAAGCCGTAAGAATCGTTTTACAATGTAATAAACATCGATGTTAAATGATGGATTTTTTAATAAGTAAAATGATATTTATATACATATGTATGTATGAACTGTTAATTTTGAAAGTAGTGTGACTCCACATTCCAAACAATGGGTTTAAGGATAACTATTCTAATTTTTAAGAGAAAATTATAAATTAGAGAATTGTGGTATATTCCATTCAAGTTTCTAATAAAAGTTTTATGTAATCTGAACATTTTAATACATTTTAGAACACATATGTAAATTGCAAATTGTCTTTGGCACACATCTTTTTAAAAACATTAAAATTTAAAACCTTCTACATATATCTCATTTCAACCATTGGACTCACGATACTTTCAAAATTAAATATGTCCATTTTATGCCTGTTTATGTACAAGAAATTTATTTAAAATAATACACATTTATTATATTTTGTTCCGTTATGTAATTTTTCATGAAAAATAAAACAAAAATAAATAAAATCCAATATTTTATGTGTATTATTTGAATTTAAACATACAAAATGTGTTGTTCAATAATACGAATTTTTCGGTATTACGAAAGGGCCTGACACTATATAATTCGTACTAGTGGACGTCCACTGTAAATTGGATACATTCCCAGTCACGATTTTGAAAAAAAAAAGAAAACAAAAGAAATTTTAAAAACTTTTTTTTATTCAACACAGCAGACTGTGTTTTTGAGAAAAACAAGCAAAAAATAAACTAAAAGATAAAAGACATTTTTTCTTTAACAGAAAATTGTCATAGGTTGGGGTTAACAAAACAACAAGATAATGTAGAAAAAATACAAAATGTTAAAGAATTTTTGCATAAAAACCATTAATTTACAAGAATTATAAAAAATTTCAAATAGCACACCCAAAAAACTTAAAAATTTTGCAATAAAATCCAGTAGCACACCCTAAATATTTAATTTTTAACAGTAGCACACCCTTTAAAACTAAAATTTCAACAAAATTTTCAAGAAATTTACAAAAATTTTAAGTAAAACTACTAGAATTTTTAAGTAGCTTCCCCAAGAAAACATAAAACTGAAGTAGCACCTCTAAGAAACCGAAAAACTCAAGTAGCACACCCTTTAAAACTAAAATTTCAACAAAATTTTCAAGAAAATCTCAAAAATTTTAAGTAAAACTGTTAGAATTTTCAAGTAGCTTACTTAAGAAATCATAAAACTTATGTAGCACACCCTAAATATTAAATTTTTACAAGTAGCACACCCTTTAATATTA